TTTTTGCATTTATTGACGATTGTTTTTGTTTAAATCCGTTAGATGTATTGGCTAAATTTTTTGTAGGTGCTCAAAACGAGTTTTGAATAAATTGCACTCTATCCCAGTTGTAATTTAATTACTGACTTACTGAATTTTTTAATTTTTGTTTTGATCATTCAAAATTGGCAGGGATTTCGCATTTGGTTGTGATTTGGTTTTTTTCGGGTACCAAAATCAGGTACCACGCAAAATTAGGTACCACAATAAATTATCGGAATGGGTCTAGTGAAATATCACTTAGGGAGTACAAAAACTGTTTTCCAATTGGCCTATTTTACTATTAGTATCGAGTATACCTAAGTTCTGTTTTTTCGTTCAGATCTTTTTATCAGGTCACGCAGAAAAAACTACATTTTCTTGAAAAAAACTTCTGTTTGTTTTTTCTTAAGACTATGGTCGAAACATTCTGTGCTACTTTCACAAAAACCGGCTATCCTCGTTTGAAGTTTTGCTTATGCTTTGAACGGTTATTGTTCCCATTGTTAGTCCTGTGTAAACTAGTCATAACATTGTCTCAGGGTCGAGAAAAATGTGTGTGAACTTTTTGAGATTCAGTCTAAATTCGATCGAGAACCGCGATCGAGTAACGCACGTTATACAGAAATCTACTTTTTTAAGAATTTTAGGATAAGAAAACTTAATTATAGTATATCGAAAACTATTTTCGGATGTTTCGTTTTGCGCTTCTATGGCAAAAAAATCTCCAAAAAAATTCAATTATTTTGCGAAAAATTAGAAAAACAATTAATTTTGATTTTACATTTTTTTTTATTGTTGAATATTCATTTTTTGACAACAAATGTTGTCGATCACGCCTGATTTACTAAATTTCTACACGATCGTGTATTTTTCGAACCGCACCACCTCTCATGGATTTTGGGGCTTCGTAGGTATGCTAGAAACCTCTAAATGTTGCTAAAAAGTTTTAGTATATTTTAAATTGTTCGGCTGCATGACTTCGAGTTTTGTTTCGTCTTGATGGGTTTCGACTTGATTTTTATTGGCTTTGTTTTATTTTATTTGAGTAAGTTAAGTGGAAAACGACATACGGTTACATATGGTGAATTAGTTTGGATTTCTTCTGATTTTGATTTTTAAAAGCGCGAGTTTACTGTTCTTACCACATGATTTTGTTTGAGTTTTTGTTCCGACCAGTAGGAGGAACTTTGTATTTGGGTGTTATTCATTTTTTGACGTTTTTTCCTTGGCAAAATCTGACATCACCAAGGAACTTCAGCTTCAGATGGGGCTAGTCTGTTTCAAGAAGTATTAGTATTATAAATTGTTATTTAATCGCTATTTCAAAAAAAATAGTCGATAAAAAGCGTTTTAAAACATGTGATATTATTCCACTTTTACAGCGAATAAAGCGAGAGTGTAGAGAGTGAAGGGTTATAGAAGGCTATAAACTAATATTTCAGCTCCTTATACCAATTTTAGATGCTTGATCTTGCTTTTTACAAACATTGAAAAACTTCAAAGAATTTTCAAAATTGTAACTTTTTTAAAGAGAAAAATTGAAAAGAAAATGTTGATGATTTAGAAAATATATCTGTAGATAACTGAAGCCATTTCTTATTTTTCATACTTAATTTATCTCCCTCTGCGTAAACAAAACAAATGGAACAAATTAAAAATGAATATTTGGCTCGATCATTTGGGCTATAAACATGAATATTTCGGCTTTTTCTAGAAAGAATTAATGTGGTCAGAACCTGATGTGCTACTTGCAAATGGAACTGGTTTCACTTGTTTTGTTATGCTTTTCGATATTTTATTTTTTTTTAGTTTCTTTTATATTCAAATCTGAAGGATTATATCGACAACTTCTATGCTCGGAAAATTGTAGGTTATTTTTTCCCGGCCATTTAAGTTATTTTTTGAATATACATATTTTTTGAATATATAACTTTTTCTGCTGATTTTCTGCAAATATTTTTGCTCTAACAGTTCGCTTTCACTTATAAGAAAGCAATAGAAAGATTTTTATGACAACTCAGATTTTTGTAAACGTGATGCAACTAATTTTCATAATTATTTGCAGCTGTTTGAAAAAAAAAATTTCACATCAAATTTTGAACAAAATGTCACCTTTTTAAAAATTCTTTTCTTATAATTTTTCTCTTTTTTTTGTCTGTTCGGTGCTTCAATTATTTTTAATTGTGCTCAGGGGTGGATCTAGGATTTCCTCGAGGGCGGGGGCAGATTTTAAAAGAAAAACCCAAAAATTTTGTCTACCTTTATTTTTACTTGAAAAAATATATATATCCGAGCGCTCTTAGAAAATTTTTATGACCCTATTTCGACAACATTTTCTCCACTGCAGGCGAATTATTGAAAAAAAAATTGAAAATATAGTTTTTGAACAATTTTTGAAAACTTTTGGACCGGAAAATTGCATTTTTTCGGCGCGTGATCGCCTTTAAAATTAGTAAAGATTGGCGCCGAAGCCGCCTTCAGAAAACTTTTAGGCTTAATCACCGCAAATATGTGTTATAAAATTGCAAATACCTAAGGGTTGAACCCATAGGTTGGTGAGTGGGTCGAGTCCCTGAGGAAAAAAGTATCCGTAACCCAACTCCCCACCCCTCCCCCTAAATCCGCCCATGATGGTGCTAGTAATCCATTTCCGCAGCTTTTCATTTCTATGGTTTGAAAAGCAGCGGAAATGGATTACCAGCACCATCAGGGGTGGATTTAGGGGGGGGGGGAGTTCAAAGCTTAAATACTACAAATGTATGTCTATAGATAGGCATGAATCCATCTTTTGGTGTTGTTAGTAAGATTCGGGTGTAGATCTGGGCGAGGGCTGCAGTCTTGCCCAGTGTGACCATTACAATTATCGGACATGGTTTAGCCTTGTTCGGGCCAGCTTTTATGTGAAATGAGATGCTGTTAAGAGTAGTATGTGTAGATCTCTTTTTTCCTAAAGCCGAGCTGATTTTCCAAAATTAACGTCAAATGCAATTTTATTTAAATTAACACAGTGATTCATAGGTTCCAATAGCAGGTGCAACCATAGCTGAAAAGTAACTCAAAAAGGTTCTAGGCATTTTCATTTTTGAAAAAAAAATAGTGAAAGATATAATCTGTTTTGCATTGAAAAATCTCTTAGTGGGAAAGCTAGCCTAGATTTCGTGTTGTTGCTGAAAAGTATGTGTTTGGGCAGATTGATAAAGTTAGATTTAACGGGAAACTTCCTCTTGTGAGGCAACTCATATGAGCAGGAGCTTCCTTTTGAAATAATCCATTTCAAAGTATCGAGAAAATTTACTGCCGCTTATTTGAAAAATTACTGACTGCTAACATGAAAACTAAATGGTCATTGTAAAGGTTATTACCGAGAGCACCAGCAGATTTGGGGGGGGGGGGGGGTTGGAAGCCCCCTCCTCAGGGATTTGACCCCCTGGCGACCCAAAGTGTCCTCCTTTGTACTATTTTGAGATATCCATTTTTAGCTGACAGACCTTAAAATTTTTCTAAAGGCGCCAAAATATGCTAATTTGAGAGGGGGGGGGGGGGAGGTAGAGCGCGCCAAAGAACGCAATTTTTTGGTCAAAACTTCCCAAAAAATGCCTAAAAACGCCTTTTTTGGCCTGTTTTTTTCCTGTTTTTTGGCCTGTTTTTTTCCTAGATCCGCCCTTGACAAAGAGAAGCAAAAGTTTTTGAAAAAAGTCGGATGGATTTCAGGACTATTGGTTTGGAACGCCCAAATGAACATTTCAAATGATTAGTTCCCTAATCCATCTGATTTTTTTTCTCGAACAATTTTTTGCCATCGAAGAATAATTCAAAATAGACAATGTTAGCTCTGTTAATTTCTAGGGAGCAAAGGTTGCGGTTAGGAACCATAACCTGGAGTTAGATTAACATTCGTAGCGATCTAAATATAGATAAGAGAATTGAGTTTGTGGGTTAGGCAGCAAACGGGAAACGGAACTTAACATTGTCCCCCTTGGTTAATTAGTGTTAATAGGGGATTAACATGAACTGCATGGGGACTAATTCATTTGGACCATGCGAGCAGGTCCCTGTCAGGAATTTGACGGACAGAAAGGTAGTGTGAAACCCTAATTTGATCAGGCAGGGAGAAAATATCCAATTGGGCGAAATGAAAGCAAACCGATTTTGTTTGCTCTTCAGATTCTTCCGAACGGATCAAATTATTCATATAATTTTTGCTTTTTATGCGAATACATTAGTTTCTATTCTGTTTTTCTCATTTTTTGAATCTTTCCAGTAGTATCATTCCCTGATTTGATGCACATTTACCTAATATTTGTCATAAACAATTGTTTTATAGCTGCGAAAATGATAGTATTGAAAGTCAAATAACTTCTAAGGACTTTTGACAGGTTTTGGTCAAGTAGTCGTTAGGTTGATCGAACGCGGTGGTACAAAACACCCGAAATTAAGAAGTGTTGTTTTGTTGTTTGTTTTTGTTTGCGTTTCAGTCAGTTACCCAAAAAGTAACGAGGAAGTTCTCTCGAAAATCAAGGAAAACCCGAGGATTCAGAGATCATTTGCAAGTGTTGTCAAAATTGCGACACGATCACCTGTGAGCTGTAAACAGTTTTGTAAACATGACATAAACTTATTTTAACCGTTTGTAAACACGATAAAAAACCGATTTGACATTCAAAGCTCTTCTCTCATAGTTCCAATTGTAACAGTTTTCTTCTTAATTTAAAAAAAAAAAACAATTTATTTCACTTCCTAATTTCTTCAACTTCGGGCAGTTTTTTGAAATGCTAAGAGTAGGTATCATTATTTAGGCAAATTTAATTTTTCATTTTCGTAATTAATTATACTACTGCTGGTGGTAAAATTCCTTTGAAAGCAATCACCGATAGCGAATTAAAGAGGAGATTTAGCAAACAGTGCTGCGAGATTAAATTATTAAAGGAACTGTGAATATCAATTTTACAATGAACATCTGATTGAAAAATGTCCCGGCTAAAAAAAGCACGCAGGCTGTTGTAATAGCTTCGACCAATGAGATTGCATATTGCCTCAGCCAATCGCGTTGAGGGAAAAGATGAAGCTTGCCTGCCATGGAGTATTATGCTCTTTTCCAACAGTGTAACTGGTCTCAGTTTAAAACGCCTCTATGTTTAGAGCAAGTTGGTTTAATTAACTGAAACTTAACTACATTCGTCTCAAATACCAATCAGTATTCATTTTCCACTCTCAATTGCGTAATCACTTACCAATTTAAACTATTATTTCGAAAAATTCCTTAAAAAAAAAGAAGAAAATTGGTCGATGATCAATATTTAAATCGGTCTTTCCTGCTGTCGAGTTCATTTTAAAAACGGAGAATTTTGGCAGACAGAGTTGCAGTTGAGAACTCCTGTTGTGCTTCGCTTGACCATCCATCCGCAAACATCTCCTAGTTCCACACAAGGTTAGTAACAGCAGCTGCAGTGCGGAGTCCCTACAGTTTCCGACAAGCTTAAAGTTAGACTTCAATTTTTGCTTAAAAATTAAATTGCAAGACATTTTTTTTCCCAAAAACTGATTCAATTTTTGCACGAATCATCTTGTAATTTGAAACTGTAGAATGGAGATCTTCGAAAATTGTTTTGCAAATAAATTATTTACTTCAACAGTCTAGGTGAGTTAGTACAAAAAATGAGTGAAATTTATCAGAATTTTCTCAAGAAAAATTATGATAAAGTCTAACTACCGTCAAAATCGAAACCTCTGAATTAAATTTGCTCAGAGATCCCTGGCACCTTCATGCTTTTTTCTCCCAATAATTTTGTAGAATTCTCTAATACAAGTTTCAAATTGGAATATAAAAGTTGTACCAATGGTGACAGTGAGCTGACGATATTTATTCATTATAAGCTACTGATGCCTACATGTATCTGCTATGATTTTTGTTGTATTGAGTTGAGGTGATCGCTCTTCACTCGGTTGCGAGATTAGATAAGTGACACTTCGATCAGATTTTCTCTGTTCAACTGCGACTGACCAAAATCGAAGTGAGTTACAGAAAAAATCACGGCGCTGCAATTAAGACAGGCATAGGTGTATCTTATGAAGAGGTGCTCAATTAGCTGGCGAAGAGTTCTCGCCTCTCAACTCACAGAACAGTTGAGTAGCAGTTTAGCCAGAGATGATTGAACAGTACTTGAAATGATGGGTGAGAGAAAGATAAAAGTGAGATCGTCGAATTAATCAAAAATGTCGGCGAAAAAACTTAAATGCAAAAACCAATTGTGCAAAGCTACCATTATAGCATATATGTTAAAAGTTTTTTAATCATTTTTATTTATTTTTCACACTGAAGGCGTGAAAATAATATCAGCTTTTCATAATTTAACGGTAAAGAAGTTTTTGTCTTCAAATAATTAAATAACATAATCAGCAAGAATCATTGAGATTTTATGTTTCTGATTCACAGTGTTTAAGTTTTCAATTTGCTGCTCAAATTTTACAAGTTGTTGTTAATTTCAAAACAGCTACTTGAAAATCTTTAATCTGACGGGCTTTATTGCCTGAGTTGTCTTCGTAAAACCAAAAGCATATCGCAAAAATTGGTTGGCAAAAATTATTTTAAATTATTTTAGGCTGACAAAGTGATGCTATGACGCTGGCCATTCAAATTGCATCTGATTTTGCTTCAAACGAACCTGGTTAGTTGCACCCTTACTTTTCCCAGGTAGTTCTCGACCTAATATCTCTGACTTTCATATCTGGTTCCAAATGATCATCAGACATTGCAAAGCTATTTTTAGATATTTCACAGATCATTTTTGTTTTGAAATAGATTATTCGACCCCGGTCGAATGGAGAGTTGGTAAACTCTAAAACACTGACTGCAGTTGATGTCGTCATTCGGCTCATCGTGGTTCGGGCAAAAAGTTTAGCGTTTTCAAAAATTAAATTTCTACTTGTTGACAATATACAATCAAGCCACTCTGAACAAGATCTGAACCTGTAACTTGTAGGAACCTTTTTGGAACCAAGCTGGTATTTATCCCAGCAGGGGAGGGTCTCAAATACTTCTCCAAATACACCTATAATGAGTTTAATTAATTCTAACCATCAATAAGTACCCGATTAACTCACCTTTTGTCTCGCTAAGATTACTAATCTTGGTTAATTTTTTCGAAATTCAGATCAGAATTTACATAAATTGTTGGTAATTTGACAAAAGTTCGCTACACAACTTTTTAATTTTTGTTTTAGAAACATTAACCGCGAATCAAAATCAGTTTTCTCCTGGATTTGGACTGGAACGCGGAGACTTCAGCATGGAAACACAGCTTCTCGGATTGTCTAATTCTTCGCCCGTTAAGAAGGCCTCCAAATTTTCAGTAGCTTCCCTCATCGGTGGATCTCGTACGTAAACTTCCAAGATTTTTATTGGTTTTACCTAACAATCAATCCTGTACAGCCTCTAGGCGGTGCTTTGACTTTTGAAGTTTACAACAAGATTTTCATTTTTTAAAGCTTTTATTGACTTGTCTAGGTAATATTCACTTGAGGACGTATCGTAAAACTGTGATTTTGCAGTTTTAAAAGCAAGCTCAAAAATTAGGTGTTGTTTCCTCTGAGTTCGATCAATTATTAAATTATACAGCAAAAAAGTTTTCATTTGTTCACAAGCAAATTAATTTTTTTTTTTAATTTGTTTTCGTTTTCGTTAAGTTTAGATAAAAAAAAGATAATTTTGATTGTAATTTTTTTTAGTCGATGAAAGTTCAAAATCTTCGAAATCTCCGCCAGCCAGATCATTTTCCAAGAGAAATGACGTCACTGACCATCCTAATAAGCAAGAAGCCGATGACTCAGAGTTCGAGGACGATACTGACGTCATTGTGGACGATTTGGACGAGTCTGAAAAACCCAACCTGAGTCTGGAAGCTAGTCGGAGTGGAATTGGAAACGAGAAAGAAGGCAGCTCGGATGACGAAGATGCTGGTGAGTTTTAGCAAGTGTATAATAAATAAGTTTTGAGATCTGAAGACTTCAGAATTTCTAATTTCCTGCTTTCGACTCTTTCATTTCATCATAATTTCCAGACCTATTTCAGAAGACCTATCTCGTATCTCCAATTCATCGAAATCATATTTTGAGCGATAATTTTTTCTTGTCTTCGAAATTTCAAATAATGTGTTAGTACTCAGCTTTTCTACTATTTTCCTCCCAGAAATTACTTGTCGCTTCCTTGAAATTCACAGTTTTTCGAGTTTATGCTGCGTTTTCATTTTTAAATCTTAGTTACAAAGACACCATTATCGGTCCCAATTGGCTTAGGAGTGAAACATCAGTTACAAAAATGAATCGTGGTGGTTGAACGGCAACTGTGGTCCGTGTGGCATTTCCAGACACTCGGAGCCAGAAACTCCATCAAAACTTCCTTTGATTATCTCGTTTAATAAGCAATTCCTTTTAATCGCTCACTAATTTTGTTGATTGGTAAATACGAAAAAATGAATTTATCAAAAGTAGTGTGCGGAATATCTCGCGACGAGATGATAACTTAGTTCCTCGTTTCTTTTTCCCTGTTTTTTTCTAATCAAGGGGTGCTTAAGGCGCTTCTGTGAGAAAAATGTTTAAAACTGGCGCCCTGCAGCCCACATTTTCATATTTATTCTTGTGCTTCTGAAAATACTAAAATACTGAATTTTAAATTCTCAATTAGATCAATCCCTAATTTAAAGATTCCCAACATACTTGATTGGCCTAAGTTGATGTTAGGGGCGCCAACAGACCAAAAATTTGCCGTACTTTTTGTTGTGATGGGCACTTTTAAGGAGATTTGAGCTCATTTTGGTTTAATGGAACTGCTAATTAGGATTTGAAAGGCTTTTGGTGGCTACATTTAAAATACAAGTGGGCAAATTTAGCCTTTCTGTCCCTAAAATTTGAGGTTTTTATTTTTCTGCCGTCGATTTGCGGACGGAGAATTAGCTGTAACTATTATGAAGAGCTTCCGTTGGCGTCATACCTGCTTTCACCTCTTAAAATTCACTTTTTCTTTATTTGATGCTTCCTTTTCTTTTTTTCATATCTTAATTAAAAGTTTTTCGGATTGATTGCGATTGTAGTATTGTAAAACAGACATGTTCTAGTCGGTTGGGTTTTTTGAAAAAGAAACTGAGAGCCTTGTTGCGTTGGTTGCACATTAGTTCGGGAAAATGCTAAATATGGCGCCGGCCGCCCGCTTTCTCAAGTCGCAGATTGCTTTTTAGGAGAGTAACTTACACGGCATTTCTTCTAATTAGCTACCCAATCTGACAGGCTTAAGTTAGTAGCAAGGGTAACCTTGGGGCGTTGGAGAAGGCCTTTGTTTGCGGGATCTCAAACGAGACTGGTCGACGCCCCTGTGCTTAGCTCGGGTCCTGTCCATCACGCGAAACACTGAAAAGAACCGCCTGAGCTGAACTAACTTTGCAAAATACGATGGTGTGTATTAGCCCTAATGAGTTGATATTTATAGGATTGATTGGGCTAACTTCCCTCTGAAATGGGAAGGGAGCCCAATTGTACCTTAGTCTGTAAAGTACCTATAAATTGTATTTGCCATTTTGGGTGAATGTTTGGCGTTATGATATTCATTAGATTGACTATTTGCAGTATTCAGACTAAAGATTAACCCAAAATTTGCAGTGAAATCTCTGGTGAATTTTTTTCAGAAACAGGTTTCATGTTTTTTTTTGTGGGAACTGAACGATATGTTGAGGATCATTTTTTGGTTAGTTGAACTTTAAAGCGAAGTTGCAATAATTGAAAAATCTTGATTCAGTTTAAGTTCTTGTAGCATCAATTCTGGAGTGCTTTTTCTGCGTATGTAAAAAATCGGGTCAGTGGTCGTAATTAGTACCCAGAAAAACGAGATCACCCCAAAATTAACAGGCAAATTTTAGGTTTTAAGGAGCCAGCGAGAAGTTTGTTTCACTTGAACTGTATTTTTACTGATAATTAAGAAAGCCTTCACTTATAGTGAATAAGTGAGCAGAGAATGTGGTTTGGGAATAAGAGGTCATTTATACTATTTGTTTTGGCTTCGAACTATTTTTGTCCGAAAATATCTTATGCCTATTCAACCAAATTGAGTTTCCTTCAAAAAAAGTTCTACTGTAATGAAATAGTATCTTTAAAGTCCAATGTCCGCAGAAAGTCTGCATCTTTGAATCGAATCTTTCTTCAAATTCATCGTGGTTTAGTTTTTTCGGCCTTTCTAATTTCAATGCTGATCATCTTTGTCGCAAAAGCAGTGATGCATCTGATTTAATCTTCTGAAAACTGTTGGCATATTGAAATATAGGTTATACCAAATAGGCTAGATCCCAATTTAGGCTTCAAGGAATCAAACACTATAATTTTTTTTTATCTGTGAAATAACTTAAGACTATGTTAGTGTTATGCTGATATAGAATCGGATACCTTTAAGATTTTAAAAATTTTGTTGATTTCAAAGTAGAGTTCGAGTTGCGTCTCGTCTCGACAGAATCGGGAGGCACTGCGCGCTTACGGCGACTGACTGCCGGAATTTTTTCCAGACATTGGCGGTCTGAAGTGTGGCGACGTTTGGACCCTTTTAGGGCTCTATTGGGTGCATTTGGGGGGCCTAGTAAGGACTGATTAATCTGCATTAATGGACAGTCAGTTAATATTGAGGCAGGAGTAATAGTAATAATTGCAGGCTTTGTTTTTATCATTGTTATCGGTGGATAAGAGTGACTTAGTTAATAATGGGTTAGGCTGACTGTTGACATGTCAATATGTTCGATTACGTCCAACTTCTGAGCCCCTTTTTGTCTTTTCCCCCCATTCCTTCGATTCCCAGACTCCGCGACTAGGTGTGAAGAAAGGGATGTCTCGAACGCATTTGAGCGATTGGATTGCTATGTTTTCCCTCCTTAATTATAGGTCTGCAGCCTAGTTAGTATTTAGGGATAGGATAATTGATGCGTTCGGATAAACCCCTAATTATATTCCCCTAAAGCCGCCTCGCCTTTGCATTTCTCCCGATAAGTGCAGTCTCTCTATGCTCCGGCTCACCACAGTCAAAGCAAGCAGCAAGGGAGAAAATTGAATTAACTCGCCCCTACTTATTATGCTCACACTTGTTAGCGCTCATCGCCTTGGAATCTTTTGTCTTTCGATCCTGCTTAAAACAATGTTTCCAATTTGCATTCCATTCAATATTCAAATCTACCTTTGCTTCCCAATTTCATCCGCTCCTCATTGGGGCGCGTGCCCAACAATCCGAAGCCCAAAGGACCCCCCTCCTAATCTAATCTAATCAAGCAACTTTGTGATCTGAAGGCACGATCTCAATCCGACAAACGAGAAATACACAGTCCTATGTTCCCCATGTATAATTCATCACCAAATTCTGGAAAGGTTAAATCGAAAGATGAAAAAAAACATAATAACAGCCAAAAAACGTTCACATGTTTATCTTTGCCTTGAAAGCTGGTATTTTTAATGTGTTTAGATGAAACCCTACACTTTTAGGGTAATTTCAAGCCTTAAATTTGGCCTTTTCAAACTCTGTGTTGCTATGATGGTTAAGAGCTATAACTCTTTATGTTGAGAGGCCCTCTTTCGAGCTAAAAAAAATGACAAAACTTCAGAAAAACACCTTCAGTTGAGGCTTGCAAATCTCAAGTTGGTTCTCGTTTCTTCGTCACAGCAATCCAAAACTCTATTGAGCATATTAGAAAGAAATCTTGCTTAGCAGCACTGGGTCTCAATTAATATGAAGCATTGGTCATTCAAGTGCCTTTCTAAAAGAGCTGCTCTCAAACATAAAATCTGAGATGGTTTGGTGACTCTTCATTGAATAAAGTCTAATAGCGCGTGAAGTCTCTTTAGTTCAAAAGTGCTAATTATGACACGCTTCTAAGCACAAGGATGACGCAGATAATAAATCACCGTCTGCAGACTCATTTTGATTGATCAGTCCGTTTCACCCGATGATCGAATGAACACTTCATTTTTCAGTCTGATGGCTTCATGATTAGCTTGGTGGTTGCGACGAATACCATAGTTTAGTGAAGCTGTTTCTGAAACTAGTGTAAATTAAGCTGAAATGTTCTAAATTTGACCGAAGTACCTACCTTTTAATTGACTTGAGATTCAAATTAGTTGTCAATTTTTTTTACGATTACACTAATTTGTTTCATGGTTTTGGCTAACCGACTCCAAAAAATGTTTCTAAATGCAGCGTTAGCGTCAATATATAATAATTGCAAGGGAGAGAGCCCGCCCAAAACGCTATTTTTTGATGTAAACCGACTCAAATAGACTTTTTTTTGAATAAAATTGCCTGGACTAGAATTTTTTTTTGAAAAAAAGGACCATTCTGAAATTTTGATGTATCTCAATAAATCAAATTGGCTGGTCTAAAAAAAGGCTGAGTTTTTTTCTAATTACTTTCGCAGCAAAAAAATCTTGCTTAAATTACACTCTCATCATATTTTGTTGACGGATGTTTAGTGTTTATGATCCTTTACCGTATTTGGATTGCTTCAAGTACGTTTAAGCAACTTCTCAAGTTTTTGTTCAGATGTGGGCACCGATGTCAACAAATCATTGGGGGACTCTTCTCTCGCAGACGCAGAAGGGGAGGGGGAGGAGATGCTACAGAACTCCGCAGGTGAGAATGTTACTAAACTACCTGCCATAACAACCCATCAACTATTCATAACTTATCACGCTCAAAATCACATCCAAATTTCCATCTAATTAATCATTGAACACGTCTCGGTAAAAACAGTGCCTGCGATAATCTCGCTGCGATTGTTTTATATGCTGTTACATCCCCCAAATCGCTATAAAAAGATGCAAATCTGGGATATTCGTCTCCAAGATGGGGGATTGCACGATAACTGATAGTTTGACATAACTTCCCCCTCTCTTCTCGCCCAATGTTGAGCACTACTTCGCTCATCTTGCTTTATGATGCATGGCGCGCCAGTACTGTATATTATATGGCGCGTTAGACGTCTTTTTGTGCTTTCAGGAAACTAAGCTGCTCTATTGCTTATAAAAGTTGAAATAATTTGCTCATAAATTATTTTAAATATTGAAATTTTCAGACTGATTTTAAGACTTTAAATTGAAAGACATTTTTTATGGAAAATAGTGTTTCTAATAAATTTAAGGGCGGTCAAATGGAGTGCATCCGTGAAGACAAATAGCTTGAGTCTTGATCACCAATTGATCAATGACAGTCATCTGATATTGAATTGACCTACAGCATCGGCTCCCTTGATTGAGAATTTGGTTTTATTTACAAAAAAAGAGAGATTTTTATGGCTCTAGTAGATTGAACAAGCTTTTTGAGCTTAGAAAATACTAGCTAGGCAGAGAAGCAAGATCGTTTCATTAATTATTAAGTTAATGCAAAAATGCTTTGTTTTTTTCCAAATTTCAGATGAAAACTACGAATTGATGTTTTCTTTAATTCCGTGAAACATCTATCTAGAGCACAAGAAGTAACCCTGACACCTGGTAAGCTGATCACTGATTGGCTTTCTTCTGTCTTAGTTTAAGTTTTGGATCGAATTATAGTTAAATAAGTTTTGCGGCGACGGTGGCAGATAACAGAGCGAGACTGGAAGCTGCGGCGGTGGACCAGAATGTTTTGTTGCGTCACCAAAATCGGATTATTTATCTCTCTTAATTTTCTTCACTTTTCAGCGCCGCTGCCATTCCATTCATTTTGTCTGTACGAAGTTTGCTCTCCGATGAAAGCAGACCTGCCCATGTATTGTTCGGTCGCTTGTCGGATTGATCGGCTTTTGAATGAGAACAAAGGGGATCTGCATTTGCCACTAGCAGATCGATCGCAGCTCCAGTCCGGCTAGTTATCAAAGATTAATTTGGATGTCATTTTATGAAAGGACCAGAATGTTTGTCTCCTTCAAATCCGCTCCTGGCGACAAGTCCGAACTTCATCTCATATACCATACTGCTCAACAAGCCTACTGCTCAAAATGTCCAATTAGCCTACTCAACTAGCCTAAAATATCATGCTGTTATTAATTCACAACTCAGAAACAAACTAATAGGGATTGTGATATAATCTTTTTAATAGTTATCTGACCGAAATGCAATTGGCGCCGAACTTCTTCAGCCGGCCAGAGTAATCCTAATCCATCACTATAAACAGAGAAAGATAGATGATGTGAATAAACATAGATTGCAAAAAGTGGTCTGTAAATTACTTCGTTTCTTTTATTTTTTTCTAAAAAAAATTGTTTATTTTTTATTGTTCTGGAATTTTCAGGTTATGTTTAAATCTAAATTTGTTAAATGTTTTTGTGGTGGTCAGTTTTGAGTTTCGATTAAAAATAAAAGTGAAACTTTTTTTGGTTTGTTTGATGTTTGGTGCTGGCGTTACTTCAGTGTCTGGCCATGAATGGCCAAATAAGAAGTCACGAAAAGAAGAAGAAGAGCCGGAAATGTGTCTCCACTTAGCACAACAACATCCCGTCTCCCTTCCCTCCCCTCTTTGAACACAATGCAACTGAATTTGTGTCCAAACACACACACGCGCACACACATACATTCACAAGTGGGGACCTGTCTTTCTTTGCAATTGCATTGCGGCGGAGCTGTCGTCTGCTACTGAACAAAGAGACGCTAAGACTTCGCGACGCTACTCTGTTTTTCCCCCTTTTTCCTCCCGATTCTGTTATTAAATGCATAGTTGACCAAAATTCTGGAATGAAAATGTGGAAAATTCCTGATGTTGTATTAAGTTTGGTTTACCGAGTTATAAGTCGATTTTGCCATTTTTGCGATATTCAATTGATTTCAGCTTGACTGGTTTCTCTTTCTTACTAGATTTTCGTTCTTCAGGTTAATTGGAAGCAAATATCAATTTTTTGCTCATAATAAGTAAGAACTAAAATTACCAATTTTTGAGATTATTTTTTATTTAATCGCTAATAAAATTATGATTGTTTTTTTTTGCGAGCTTGTCACTGAAGCCCTAGTTTCCCTCAAAAATCGATAACCTTTCGACTTATTTAAATAGAAAGCAAGAAATACTCCTCAAAATCGAATCTCGATGTGTTTTCAAATGCCGTTGAGCTAAATTAAATCTCTAAACAGGCTATTAATTTTTTAAATCAAGGTGGATTTTTTTCAAGGGTCAACATTAAGAGTCTAATTAACGCACAAATATATCTGCTCTCCTAGATACTGCCTCTCTCAAACATTTTTAAATCCAGCCATGCTACTTAGAAGAAATATTAATTAGCTCCTTATATTTTTCTCCCATGAAAGATCTATTTTTGATTGACAAAAGAAAAATACATGTAAACATCAAATATTTACTCTTTTCCGCTTCAATATTTGATAATTTCAACTATCAAAAGAAAGTTTTGTTCTGGAAAAAGTTTGGAATTCATATTTTTAACTAACAGCTTTACATTTTTTAGTTAGAAAGTAAAATTTGTGCATAAAATATTTCGATTGCGATATAAATTTGTTCGGATCGTTCCATATGCGATTTTTTGCTGGTTGAGTTCTGAAGCGTAAAGTCGGCACCAATTTATGACAACAGATAGTCTGCGATCTCAATAAACGACAAAGGACACCTAAATTGTCGCGCAGCTCCTCTTTGTTCGTACCCACTCGGCGTGAAGCCGTTTGAAACGAGGCGGGACGATGCCCGACTGAAAAATGAGGAGAAAGATCAGAGAGACAAAAGAAAGTAGGCAGTGACACAAATTAGCGAATACAGTCAATGACACAAGCGATTGGTTTAGGAGGCCGTTGGTACCACTAGGCTTTCAACTGATTAGAAATTATTGTTATTTTTTCTGCTTCCTAGCTTAGAGGAATATTTTGGTTACACGAAAAACATACATTGTGAACTGAAAACGTAAAGCGATAAATGGTATTTTTTGAACCATTTTGTGATATTTTTTTGAACAAAGTTTTACAAGGCCAAGTGGTTTTTCAGAAGCTATAGCTGCGTATGGCTTCTAAATAAAACTGATAAAAAAACTTTTTTTTTAAATTTGTTCGAATTTGATAATTGGAAAACTGACAGCGACTGACGAACGGATATTTTTCTAAGTTCCAAATAAAAAACCATTGATGAATGATTGAATTGGCCAGACTCCAATCGAATACGATATTCTCTTCGAAAGATCGCAGAAAAAGATCTTCTCAAGAAGATCGCGAGAAAATGATATCCTTCCAGATCGAATCAAGACTGAAAGGCTTTCAATATGATACATTCTTTGCCTCCATGTGGCGTTTGTTTCCAGCTCATGATTTGCGTGAAAAAACCTCCTCCGAATCCAAAGATTCTTCCCACTTTCACTTACAGTGATCCGATCGAAAATCTTCAAACGCAGACTGATATTGAGAGACCATGTATACTATTTAAATAAATTATCAACAAATATTATTATTTCATATTGCCATCAGTTTTTGCGTAGAGGAAAAAACGTCATTTTAATAGAGCAACAACTAAGGTTTTGGGCGAACCTCAATTTTTGAAGTTTTACTTTTAAAAATTTTTTGAAATTAACTAATTCATCCCGCATCAGTACAACAAAATCAAAAATTGCCAAACAGGTATCTCCAGCTTTAGCGTGCCTCTAGTTTATTAGTACCTTGAAAAGTTATTACCAAGGTACCAATACATCCATTATGAATTGTTCTTTTTGAATCTTCTTTTTCAAGGAGTCTATTTTTTCAGGGTATGGAGGGGGTCAGTACCGAGAGACAGACGAGGCCTGTACGCCTTTCGGCTGTCTGTACTGCGACAAGATGTTCTCTCGGTTGAGCTACTTGAAAAGACACGAGCAAGTGCACAGTGATGCTATGCCCTACCAGTGCGACTATTGCCAGAGATACTTCAAACACAAGCGCAGTAGAGACAGACACGTCAGACTACACACTGGTAATTTAGATTTTTTCATTCTGATTATCATGCAAAAGAACTAGATAGAAATAAGGTTTTTTATCCACGAAGGAGAAAAACTGCTTATGGGCTGTTTAAAGTTTGAAGTCAGTTTCTCTTTTTAAAATCGTCGTTTTTGTGCTTTTCAAGTGGTAATGAACGAAATGATTTATCACTTATTCAGGTCTTGTTTGTGTCAGGACAAAGTATTAGAAGTTGTTCTTCGAAAAATGATTTTTCGGCGTTTGTTACTTAAGATTTTATTACAAATTCAAATCAAAGTCAAATGATAAATATAAAGCTTATTATACACTCCAAAAACAAACAACCGAATGGCGCGAAAAAAAGAGTGATTGTTTTTAGTTTTGAAAAACTTTCTATTTTCAGAATTCTCAGCGGAATAAATTTTAAATTTAAGATATCTATTGATCGCGTTTTGTCGAATTTGGATAATCTTTGCGCTTTCGACTTGTAAGCGTTCTCAAATTGGGATAGAGACTTTTTCCAGGTAAAAAAATTTGTCTAATAGAATCAATTGAACCTTTTGAATGTTAACTATTTTTATTCAATAATGTTTTTTTATTTCATTTTTGTATTTTTCGGCGAAATGAGCTTCGGTATCAGGCGCGGATCTTTGAATTTTTCGAGGGGGGGCGAACTTTCCAAAAAAATTGAAAGAGCCAAACAGTCAACCAAAACAGTCAGCAAAAAATGGATATCTCAAAATAGTACAAAGGGGGGACCCTTTAGGTCGGCAGGGGGTCAAATCCCTGAAGGAAAGGAGTCCGCACCCCCCCCCTAAATCCGCTACTGTTCAATTTTATAATGATTTCCAGCTTTTGTCTCGGCTGGTTTCATTTTCAGGCAATCAGAATTGAGCATATTCATCTGACTTATTCCCATTTTCAAAATTGTCAAAAATATATATTTTTTCGCCGTACAACGGAACAGACCCCAGGTCTGCAAATTTGGCTCCCGTTCAATTTTTACGTCAAATTTGAATTTTTTTGTTACAATTTTTGTCTTTTTTGGATCAACTCCGTGGATTTCCAAATAGAAACGAATGAACCTCTGTTTTTGATTTATTAAAATAGAGTTTCTGTCTTCATTTGCACAAAGCACTCCCATATCATTATTAACTTTCAAGTGTCAAAAATGATATCTGTCAGTTCAGATAAACCAGGATTTTTGGCGACAATTTTCTTTCTGAATGTTTTTCCTATCAACTTCTTTATTAATTTTTCACTTCCTGTTTTGATCTTTAGCGGCTAGTTTGTTTGTGGAGCCTTTTTGTTTACACCAATAGCAGTGCTTTCTGGCGCTACTCGAGAGACCGCGGCTAGCACAAGTGTCTGTGCATTATAGGATTTCGAAATCCGCCCAGTCATTAAAGATTTTTTAAAACCTCATTTTTCCTGTTCAAGTCCATATTTAGATGCCCTCTGCTCAAGTTTTAGTGTTAAAGAGGGAATTAATAAACTAGTTTCCCAGCCCTTCTTCTGTGGAAAGTTCTTAAACTGCTTGAATATTTTGCAAGTGTGACCCTTGTTAAAACTGTTCACTCAATAGTTTCGACTAATTAACTCGCAAATTGAACCAGATTAATTTTACCTTGATAATGGGCCATTTTATCAATTGATGAAAGTGCCTCCTACCAAAAATATTCCAAACTTCTCGAGAATGAAATCTCGGTTTTTCAAGTTTGAAAACGTAATTGAATCGAATGTTGTTTTAAGTTGATAACGTCAACCCCACCCATTTTTATATTAATGAGTTTGTAGTTTAAGGTTATTATGAGTTTTGAGTTATAAATTTTTTTTTGTGTGTGTTTCAGGGGACAAGAGGTATGCGTGTACCATCTGCACCGCTTGTTTCTCCCGCAGTGACCATCTGAAGATCCACTTGAAGACACACAACTCCACCAAACCCTTCCAGTGCCTCATCTGCAGCAGAGGTCAGTAATTCAACCATATTTCAAGCCCCCCCCCCAATATTTTTTGGGGGGGGGGGGGGGGGGGGCGATCGCCTGAAATATACCAAGGCTCGCCTGAAATATACCATTTTTCTCTTCGCGCTGTGCCCTCAAAATTAAATATATTGATCAATCACGAAAGTCTGAAAAATGTGACATCAAACTAAGCTGAATGCCAAAATAGAACCTACTTTTATTGGTAATCTGCAATTAGCTTAGGGATCTACTTAACAATCTCTCCCCCCTCCCTCTATTGTATCTACTAAAGAATTTCCACCCCTATAAATAAAAACAGTAAATTAGCACTAGAGCTTGTATTGAGAATTCGAATTTTGCTGCATTTTGATTGGCCAAAAACTCGACGTTTTCTTAAAAGGGGGAGGGATATTGTTAAGTAGATCCTGGCTTAGAAACTCAAAGTAGTCTTGTCTTTTCAATGGCTTGTTAATGATTTTTTCCCAAACACATTACACATTGACTGACTGCTCTAACTAATTAATAAATCGCTGTAAAATTTTATCAATTAAGCTCACCATAAATTTAATTTAGTTCAATTTAATACAAGTCACTTATGAACGAGCTTCAAATCTAGTCAGCTCTCCAGTTGTTTTTCTTGATTCAATCACGTTAGTTTGATCCCATTGGTGCTCTATAGTATTTTTATAATTCTGGTAAGCGAAGGGGGCTTCAGTGTGGGGACCCCTTGTGTGAAGTGTGGCTCTAAGTGGTGTCAAGCGGGCTTAATGAGGATCAGATTGAGGGGTGAGTGATAGGGATCTTAGTTTGGAGAGTAAACAAGTGTTTTGTTTTGGGACCCCTGGGACGTCCTCTTTATTTTCACCCCTAGTGGATTTTCACTTCACCTGTGGGGGGATTGGGAATGTTGTGAAGGTAATAGGACAGATTTGCATCTGAAACTAGCCCCACATGTACTCTGAATATGACACCAACAGGGCATTGGAAACCTAGCCGAGAGAGAATAAAGACGAAAGCAATCTTTGCCCTAAAAACTATGCTTCGTTTTTCTGTTTTTTTTAACTTGCTTGAGAAGTCGAAGGATTTTTTTCTCCGCTCGTTGTCAGTCAACTTTGACAGTGAATTTTCAAAAGAGGAAAATTTGTGATTGTGTTAGCGAAGAATACGAGCGAGGAAATTTTTAAATTGTGATCCTTGAAAATTATATAATCATCTGCAATTGTGTCTTAAACTTGCTCTTGGCGGTGACTTATCAATTGATGGTTATTGCACGGTCATCACGATGTCATGCACGGTCAGTTCAAAAGATAATTTATGTCAATTGAGTCAGTCTGCTAGTTGAGCGTGAGTATTTGGTAAGAAGACAGGAAAAGTGGTAGTTGAATCTCCCCTTGAGTGGTTGTGCTGATTGATAAGAGACAGGGGATCAACCTAATCCTAATTGGATCCGTGCTAAGCTGTCCTCCAACTCCAGCACTAATATGGGCCCCATTAACCCCTCCGCCTTGCTCTCTTCTGTCAACTGGAGATCCACAGCTTCGCTTTAAATTAGACACCGATGCTTTATTATTGTTCCTTTGGCTTTAATTCCGAATTCATAATTACCCAAACCAATTGACATTTTCGACCGAAATTCTCGGAAAAACGCGTTGTCGCTTTTTTGCAGAAAGCATTGTCATTTTATTTAAAGGCAATTTTTTATAATTTTTAGAAAATTTAATTATTTTTGGAGCTGCTTCCAGTGTTATTTCAAAGGTGAGAAACATTTGTTGATGATAGTTCCTGGAATTAATCTTAGACATTTCATACCATTGTCCAATTTTTTTTTTAAATTTATCAACGGATATGAAATCTTCGCCCTTATAATATCTGTTCCGTGCTAGGATTTTCCAGACTAGAATTTAGTTTTTTAGATACCATATTTTGAATTGGGAGGATTTTAAGCGAATTTTTTTCCCTGAGGGCAGGTAACATGTTCAATTCAGTTTGAAATAGGAACAAATGACCAAATACTTGCACCAAGCCAAGCACAGTCGCACAGTGTTAGTAGTCTGCATACGCTGCTTGCGATCGAAGCTACTCAGTAATGAGGGTGACAAGAAAGAGATCACGCCGACCGGCCGGCACAACCGCTGCTCTACACGGAACACCCGCCGCTTACTCAGTCGGAAGTCTCCCCGCAGCATAGAACCTTTTATTACGCAGAGTAAACACTTAGCCTAATTCAAGACTCTATACATGAGACCAATTTGTTCTAATTTTTGCATTTTTTGCTCAAAAAATTTTCCGATACATTGATGCAATTTATTTCAAAATTTTTAATGAAGAAAACTATTGAAATTATGCTAATTAGAGATTGTGTTAGTTGAGAGGGTTGGATGTTAAGGTGCCAATTGTTACTGCTAGGCTGAGTTGGTTCCGATTCCAACCCAATGTTCGAATGCACAACAGAAGAGACATTACAGCTTCCTTGCTCCTGCCCTCCCTCCTAATTTATCCTCTCAAAACAGCACGGCTGATCAATAGGACACTTTTCAGCCGACTGCTCACTGGGACGATGCATTTCAATCATTCAATCTTAGTCACTTCATTTTTTATTAAAATTTCAGGACTAAAAAAAGTTTTTCATCGATGGAGAAAGTACGAATTCCCCTTTCTCCGCATTCAATCAAATTTAAAACTTCGAAAAAATATATTTACTAATACGAAGTTTGCTGTTTTTAAACATTTAGTTTTCGCCTGTTTTATTGAAAAGTGCGGCCATTTGACCCCTAGTTGAGAGCGGCGACACAGTTTTTGACACATTTTTGTGTCATTTTTAGTCTTTCTTCAATCTACACTTTCTATTTCTCAAAGTGCTACTGTGCATTAGATCTGATTTGAGTGCGATTTGATCCTTTCTGTAGGTTAGACTGTGTAATTTGTGTTGTGCAACGTGTGTGTTGTATGTGTAGGCTATACGACAATGGCGGCCCTGACTGCCCACACGCAGAGCCATCACAGGGGGGCCAGCTGGCACACTCAGGGGGGTCTGGGGGCTCACCTGGTGCGCTGCCTGCGGTGTCCGGCCGTGTTCGCCTCAGCGGGGGAGCTACATAGACACTCTCTATTCGCTCACTCTTCTATCTCTTGTTCTATCCCCCCACAGGCAGTCGTAGTCTCCGCAGCCTCAGTTGCCGCAACCAACAACACAAATCATATTCACAGTCTCCAAATTCACAACAACCACCACAACCACCACCAACTTACTTTCAACAGCGAACATTGCCACGGCCAGTCTACCAGTAATAACAGCGCCATTAGTACCATTACTAGCAGCAGTATTAATACTATCACCAGCTCCTCGGCAACTGCGCCTAATGCTACAGCCAATGCTGCCCAAACGCAACAGCAGCAGCAGATACAATTACAACAGCACAATCTTAATTTGAATCTTGCCAACGTCGTCGCTTCTGCTGCCGCCGCCGCTGCAGCTGCTAACTCTGCTTCAAACGTCACTTCATTCAACGGAGGTTCAAATTCATCAAACGCATCTGCAATAAGCAGCTTACCAAGCTCAATATCTGGTATCGTGGGCGGTGCGAACTCTCGCCTACTGCAACATCACAGAAACACTGTCGGACCGACGCTAGCCCAGATAGTCCAGCACTCGAATGGAAGCGTTGTCAACAATAGTGAATCGCCAGCAGGTATTTTGATAATTTTTCTACTACTCAATTTGTAATTATCCAAATGAAAAGTATACGTATTGCAAATTAATCAAATAGTTAAGAACGCATGGATGGATCAGGTACAAAGAGCCATCGGAATACTCCATAAATATGATCTTTCAGCGAAATATTGATGAAAAATGTGAACTAATTGAGTTCTTTGCGCCCCTAGGCTTTGTTTTAGGAAATGGGCTGCCAAATTGATAAGATGATTTTTCGACTTTTCTATTCAAATCATTTTAATTCCAATTTACTACTGCAATATTACATGAAACATTATTGAGTATCTGATAATTTTAGCCAAAAATCAACACCAACAACAACAGTCATTTTCTCTTCTGAACAATCTCGCATCCTCTTTCAACCACAGTCAGTTTATCCAGAATATCCAAAACCAGAACTTCCTCCAAAGCCAACAAAATCAGCAACTGCACAACAGCCAACTCAGATCCGCCTTGGGAAATCTCAACTTTAATCAGCAGCAGTTTCTAAACGCCAGTCTAAACAACAGCTTAGCGCTGAATCATCTCCACCAGCTTAACTCGAGAAATTTGTTATCTTTAAACGGAAACGGTGGACCTCAAAATTCAGCAGTTCCTGCGTTACCAAACCTGCCACAGGGAAACTCTTCAATCTTAGGCGCCAGTTTGAACGCTCTAAATAACTCTATCAAGTTACCAACTTTATCAAACCGAAGCTCTCAGGAAGAGAAGTCTATCAGTTCTGAGGGAAATACTGAAGACGTCAAAACAAAACCGAGTTCTGAAAACAAAAATCAAGATTATCAAAATGGAACTAATTTAAAGAGACGCGCGAGTTCGCCTCTGAATAATTCTACTAGTGCTAAACAAGCGAATCTGATTTTAACTCCACCTTCATTGAAATCGCCCAGTCAGCTAACACACGAGACTCTTAGAAGTCCGAGTTTTCACGCGCAGGCGAATCATTTGCCGAACCCGAATCTACTTTTGCAGTCAACTAATAGTGCAGCTTTCTCGGCTCTATGTGCCCAAAACTATCTGTTCCCGAGGCTGGGAAATCCTTCGCCTCTTTTTCGACCGAATCCTAATTTGTTTTCTCGATTTGCTCCGAACCAGCTGTCGCCTCCGAGCCAGTTTCTACCTCCGCCCCACCCAGGCCTTCCGGGATTCCCAGCGGCTTTACCTTCTCGCCATTCTTTGGAATCTTTGAAGCTTCCCTCAAACAAACCCGGTACGTTTTGTCATTGAACTTACATTTTTATCACAAATATTTGCTGCGAAAAATTCTGAATTCTTACTTTTAATATTGTGAAGATTTTTTGAACAGTAGTAAAAAACTTGATTGACTCCCGAAATCAACCAGGTGTTTGATTATTTTTCGCTTCGAGTGAAGTTGAAATACTAAGTTTGCGCTGATGGCACCTGAATGTTTTAATTATTTGTCTTTCTTGCTGAGAAATCTTCTTGTAGTGCCATCATTTGACACGTGTGATACTATTAATTTAAGCAAGTTTATCAATCTCGACCCAATTCAGTTTTATTTCCTCAATTTTATCATCTTCACATTGCGCAAATGATCGCATTGAGGAGAGAGTATGCGAGGCGCTCGTGAATAATTTAAGATTAAAGTCTCCCTAGATCTCTCCAGTTTGTGAACGAGCTCTTGTGTTCACATTTCTTCTTTTATCTGTGAAATCATTAAAAATTGCGAACATATCACGCTTTGTAAACACCAGAAAAGTTCATTCATGATACCTTAGCTAAGTTTTTAATGCTTAAAGATATGAAACAAGTCTTCTCTTTGATAAATTTCATGAGCATAAAAGCAAAAACAAATCAAAATTTTCTATCTTTGTAAATAAATTGTCTCATTTTTCAGGCGTACAAGGGCAGCTGAGTTCTATTTCACCGATTCGGAGCTCGCCTCCAAACGTACTGAATAGTCCTATCTCAAGCAGGGACGAAAAGTTAGGAGTCAATCAACTGCCAGGCCTTCCAGATCTAATTTCACCGAGTGAGTACCAGCAGTCAGTTCTTTTTATACCTGATTGATACGTAATACAACGGATATTTCAAATAATATAAGTTTTTTTGCACGACAGAAAGGTAACATAAATAATGATTTTATTATCAAACTGGACAATAGAGCGCTAATAACAAAAATTTTGATCAATTTGACGAATCGATTTTGTTTATAAATTAATTTTTAGTTAGAGGTGCGCCAAATTCAATCAGTCATTCATTGAATTTCCCAATTAACCATCCTGCACCTGCGACCTTGAACCCATTTCTGGCTCCACGGTTGGCGCCGACGAACCCAACTCATCAAAACGAGGCTTCAGTCGCCGCATATCTGAACAACGCCACACCCAATCGTCCCTCCAACTTGCCAGTTTTCGCTTGTCCTATATGTCCCCCCAGTGCATCAACACATTTCGATAAATTAGCAGACATCCACAATCATTACTTGGCCTTCCACCAAAATAACAACAATAATCACAGCCCAGGCAGCAGCTTTAGTCAAGATTCTTTGGAGATCACAAAACGCGTCATTTCGGAGGCCAAATCGCAAAACGAAGGTGAAAATCATTTTTATGTCGCTTTCAATAAACATCGGTAGAGTTTGAAGAAAAAATTTAAATAGCCGAAGTGTTTTGTCGGAATAGCTGAAAACTTTACGCGATAGCGGTGATTACTAAATTTCCTGCGTGGAAAAATGCTTCATTTTTTTTCTAATAAGTGCAATGAAATGATATTTTAGAAGACGAAGAAATTCCGCAACTGACTGCAGAAGAAGCGAGGAAATTCGAGCAGCTCAAACTCTCTCTTCTCGTTTCCGAAGTGATTGACGAATCAGAGGTAGCTGATAGCCAGCCGAACACACCGTTGACCCCTATTACCATCTCAACCACATCTGCATCGTCTTCTTCCGCTGTCTCTGCAAAGTCAAGTGCAAACTCGGAAAAAATTGAATCAGAAGCCGATTTGAAGAAAATTTCAGTGAAATCTGAAATTATGAATGAAAAAATAGCCTGCGCTTTGTGTGCTCAGATATTCCATTCTGAAGATGACGTGAAGTCGCACGTGGACAAGGAACACTCCGAGTTAAACAGCCAATTAGAGGGTTCCAAATTAACGTCGCCCTCTTGTGTTGAAAATGACGATTCGAAACAAGAGTCAACTATTAAAGTTAGCAACGTAGACGAAAAGACAAACTCACATAACAGTCCAAATTTAGGATCTTTGAGCTTCGCAGTTGATAATTTGATTCAAAAAGGTGACTATCTTTTGGAATAAAATGACGTAATTTCTCTTGGATTTAAAAACTTGAAAGTTATACTATAATAAATTTTTTAGATCAGGGTCGAAAACGGCTTCGCTCTGAAACGAGCCAAGATTCTTCAGAAAGAAATGAAGTCTCTAGCAAAGGTCGCAAAAGTTCAAACTCCACCCCAAAGGTATCGCCGGACTATCAAAAAGCCGCAGTGGTAGAGAAAGAAACATCAAAGAAATCAGTAACCCGAGTGAACAACCATGATTTCACGTGCACTCATTGCAATCGAGGTGGTTTTAAAACTCCAGATGAGCTTCAAACCCACATGAACTCCCATCTTGAAGTTTTGCTCAAACAGTCGATGTCAAATGGGCTGATGACGCCAGTATTGCCTGGCGGAGGGTCGGCGTCGAATTGTCCCGAGTGTGGAATTGTGTTGCCGTTGTCTGAAACTGGAAAGCAGATGCATCTGTTTTCCCACTTCAGGTTGGAGAGGCGAAATTACATAATATCTTCATCATTTTTTATTTCAATTGAGTTCCACTATCAAAATTCGTTTAGTAGATAATAAATTCTGTTTCCAGTGAGTTGCAGCCTCAGGAATTCGCTTGCATCCACTGCAAGAACGTCAAGTTCTCCTGCAGCGAAGGATTGCATCAACACCTCATGCAGTTCCACTCCAAGTGTCTCTTCACATGTTCCCTCTGCCAAGAGACATTCAACAACAAAGTATCACTACAGGTAACTAAAACTTCTAGATTGTTCACTTCTAGAATGTTTCTCGCGTGACTGAATGTGTACTTCTTCTAGAATGTTCACTTCTTCTAAAGTGTTCTTCGTGTGACTGACTTGTCCACTTCTTTTAGAAAATTCCTCACATGATATCACGTTTTATTCCAGTAGCGATACTTCCATGTATTTACATAAGTGTATTTTGTTAAAATAGCTTTCTGATGATTGGAGTTTTTGGTCAATCGTAAATTGAGCGATAAAAGCGATGCTTTGCTTATACTAACTTCGAATTTTTTTCAGGTTCACTTTGCGGCACAACACAGCAACAAAAAACAATGCTACAGATGCAAGCGGTGCAATGCTTGTTTCTTTAATGACCTCGACTTCGAAAAGCACATTTTCAAAGAACACCTCCAACTCATCAGACAAACTAACTCCCCCCAACAAAAGCAACCTCTTCCCTCCCCCACTTTTGCAGGGCTCCATGAAATGCTAAAGAGAGGGTCGCCCTTCCACCAACTAACGAGCCCGGATGACAAAAATTTAGCCCAAAATAGGCTGAAATGCATGTTTTGTGGAAAAATCTGCGATTCTGAAGAACATCTACAAACTCACATATACTCTCACATGAAGCAGTTTAATTGTCTCTACTGCGACAAAGTGTTCCACTTGAGCAGTTTGCTGGAGCAGCACATAAAAGCCTTCCACATGCATGAACTTCTGGGTTCTTCTCAAAGTGAACAAATTCAGAAAATCAGCCCTAATTTGGTCACGTCTCGTGCCAATTCGTTTGACTTCGGATCTGCAATTGACTTGTACAGCTCCGCTCAATCGCCGGTGGAATCTCTCATGTTCAAGTTTTCGTCTGCAAAGACTTCTCCGGGTCGAATCGCCGGAGTCGCGACGGCAACTGCACGATGTGGCATGTGTCAGGCTAGTTTCGTGTCTGAACTTGAACTAATGAAACATAAGTGGACGCACGTGTTCACGTTGAGCACTCCGCGATGCACGCTGTGCAATGCAGTCTTCAGTTCGCCTTCCAACTTGGCAGCGCACATGTTCGAACACAAGGTAATAGAATTCTTTCCTGTTTTCGGCACTTTTTTCTCGACAATTTACTGATAGTTTAAGTTACTACTGATAGTTTAACCTTTCTAGAAAGTTACCATCATTATGAGACGAATTGACATTTTTATATTTGCTCTTTGTCAGATTTTTGCCGATGAATATATGGATATATGAAAGTTAGAGTGGTCCCCACTAGTTGATAAAGGCTAACTTATCGTTTTGATGTAAATATCGAAATTTGGAGAAAAAACTTATATGAACCGAATTCGAGGGAAGTTAATGATTGATATTTTTTACTTAAAAACTTCTCGAAAAATATATGCTATATTTGTTTTTTTTAGTAACAGCAATTTTAGAATAAAGGAATAACATTATTTTTTCATTGTAATAAAAGAAGCATATGTTTTAGGCCATCAACGTTGGCAATCTCTGCACGCATTGCAACTTCCCCCTTACTTCAGAGGAACACTTCTTCACCCACTTTGATAAACACGTGCTGTCCCCCACCCTCTGCCCCTCCCCCTCTCCCCACTCTGCGAAGGGGAATAGAGATGGCAGTGACTTGTCCCCCTTGCTGTCTGTAGGGGGAGGGGACAAAAAACACGTGGAGTGTATAGTGTGCAAACAGCCGCTGACATCGGCGGCCGAATTGCAGACACATGCCAAGTTCCACAGTCACATCGACGTCACTGCCAGAGGGTATAGATGCAGTGTATGCTACCAGACCTTCCAGACCAAAACCAACCTCCACTGCAAGGTCAAAATAGTTTCCTATCTCTTCTAATCATCTCGTCTTTAGTTTCGACTCCATGAAAGAACGGCTCTTGTACCGATAATCCCCGCCAAATATAAACATTAGTTTTACCGTAAAAATAACTTAATCAACGCCGAATATAAATAGCAAAGATGTCTAATTTTGGGTCATTATTTTTTGCCCAATTTTTCTAAAAATAGAGAAAATTAGTATTGTCTGAGCTTAATTGTAATATATTTTCAACTAGAAGCCAAATTAGAATTTTCAAATTTTCAAACTGATTACTCGAGGTATGAGTATGCGCTTAAATTATCCAAATGATCTATAATGGTTTCAAATTACTATTTCAACTTCTTCATAACAATTATTTTGCAGGTTGATGGAAATGGATGCCCTTTCTACATTTGTGGAGAATGCAAAAAGAACTTGCAAAACAACCATAGCAATCAAACTTCTTCAGAACACCATCAACACATCCACCAACTCCTGCTCAATCGAAACTCGGTCACGCCGCCGGGGGGAGGGATAGGGGGAGAAGGGGGTTTGGTGGGGATAGGGAAGTCTAATTCCCAGGCGACGAGGGCGGGAGAGTTTGGATTGGGGGGACTGATTGGCAGCTACAGTCATCTTATTAACCAGTCTAGACTCAATTCAGTCGACTTCAAAAATGGTAAGTCCTTATCACCATACTTGGCAAATTTAATAACCGATCAATCTTAGGAGCTGCATTTGTGTTGATCATTCAGTGAACAATGATACTTGACTAAGTATAGCGCCACAGATACATTTTCCTTTGTAAAATCCGTCTGACAAGAATCAAGTCTTGTAGACCCTGCGGAATGAATAAACTTAATACCGCGTGAGCGCTCTGTCCCAAAATCGGCTGATTGACAGTGTCTAGCGGTGGCTGCAATTCAATAGCGCGTCACAAATTGGCGACGAAAGGATCCTCCGTTCAGTTCATAACCAGGTATCGTATTTAGAGGGGGTGGTTTATTCTACAATTTTCCAGAACACTGATTTCATTGATTTCACGGAACAATTGCTTATTATTTATTCAACAAATGGTATAATTTATATCGGATTATGTTTACAACCAAGCTTTATTTTCCTCCTTTTGTTCCAGATAACTCATCGTCACCTAGCGGCGCCGCTGCCAAATTTTTTCCAGACCGGAACATTGGTGCAATCCACGGTTCGATTCCCGCCCTGGCGCCTACATTTGTGCAGCGAGGTTCAACACAATTCCAGCCATTGTCATGCAGTAAATGCAAGATAAAATTTGCCTCAATTGATGATCAAATTCGTCACATAACCACTGCTCATTTGACAGTTTCACCAAAGAGCGAAGATCAAATTAAGGCGGCTGAAAATAACTCAGAGAGCAAAACATTCCAGTGCATCAAATGCCAAAAAGTGAGACCTGCTTCAAAAATTCTTGACCAAATTTTTTCCTCAAACGTTAAAAATAGATAAGGGGGGGGGGAGGAGAGGGACCATTATTGACTCATTAGTGGATATGCGAAATTGTCACCATTAGTAGCTTTAGGGAGTCAGTTAAGCTCAGCTCCGATTCCGATAGTGCGTCATTTTTTCATACCGCAAGTTATAAACAGATCTATGCTACTGCGGGTGCGAATATCTTGCTCTCTCAGAAACCCAAGGGCATATAAAAATTGCTGTGATTCTAATTTAATGATTTAATTATTTTGGTGCCGCTGATAAGCTTGTAAAATTAGAATGCCCAGAACGAAATTGTCACAAAAGTGAAAGAACGCAAAAACAAATTGCGCGATTAAAATAATTAATCATTCGCAAAGTGTGTTAAAAACTGGTGCGCATCTTAAACCAAATTCTTATTACCCATTTATTTTTCCTAAATTCAACTAAACCCTATAAATATTCTGTGAACTGTTGTTGATATTTTCAAGATTTTCGTTTTCATTCAAAAGCTACCATGTGCAATTCCCTATTGTGAATATTGTGTTTTGATCACTGGGAGAAAAATTGGTAAGGTAGTTCAGAAAAATAAAAAGAGAAAGGAGAGTTACTGATCTAGTGGAACTTCCTGTGTAGGGGGGGGGGGATTTAGGTGGTAGGGTGGGGAGGAAAAGGAAGTGAAGTAGGGGATGTGGATGATGTGATAGGTATGGAGGGAGATTAGGAGAGTACAGTGGAGCCAGAAATCCTCCCTTCGCCCGAATTTCTTTCAAACTGTCTTCTCAAATGTATCTTGCCCACTCTTTATCTGCTCCACCGATCATCCCTGTCTAAAAGACAAGCCCAAATTAAATCTCAACTGTCCCGCTGGCCGAACTCAAATTCAACCAATTTTGATTTTCCAGGGAAAATTATCTTTTTTATAGATAATAATTCAGTTAAATGAAATGGTACTTTAAAAAATATTTGATTCGGAATTACGTCTCTTATGAGTCTTTAAAAAATTAGAAATTTTGAGAATTTTTTTTTAAATTAGGTTAGATGGCTATTCGTCTTTCCAGCCAGCTGTGTTGTGTCAATTTGGTTAGGGTGAATTTGTGTGTGGGGTGTTGGGTTAAAAAGTTATTATTAGGGACAGGCAAGGGACAGTTTTGGGCGCATCTGAGGCGCGGGCAAAGTGAAAAAACGCCCAGATGTCTGCTACATATGGAGATCTTTCTCCTGCTAATATAATTGATTCTGGTGATTAGAAAGATTTAAATGAGACACATACTAGACGGAAAGACTCCACATTCCACTTTTTAACAACCCCTACTCACTTTACCCAACAGATACCCTTATATCTCTGAATACCCCAAATGGAAATCGATACTACTACTACTACTACTACTACTATGATGCTTCATCCCATATATTTTTCATTATCTTGCTCGATAAACTCACGCCATTGTTTCAACAATGCTGACAAATCGTCTGCTAAAGTTCAAAATAAATGTCTGATAAAAATCAACTTCGTCCAAAAAATCCATAATTTCACATCAATCTGTGGATTTTACGAAATAAAAGATTGAAGGCAACTTTTAATATCAGAATAATAGGCGCTATAACGACTAACTCGAAACCGTACGTCAATTGAATTGACCTATTGTAAACTTCACAATTATTGATTTCAAGTGCAAATTAACTCCTCTGTATTGATTCGAACTTCGATGCAAAAACTTATATGGATGCAGTTTGCAATTTTTAGCGATTTTTTTGAAAAGCAGAGTCTATGAAATCGAAGTTAAAACAAGAAGTACTAGTTTGCTGTGCAAGTAACACAGAATTTTCCGACCAGGTATTTTTTATTGGAATTTTGCAAAACTAAGTTTAAAAAAACGAAAAAATGAAGAAAAAAAAGTCGTAGTTCTTTCCACCCCTAGGAAATAGTCGGAACCAAACCACATGATCATAGCTAAGAATTCAAACAAAGCAAAGTTTATATCGGCCAAAAGTGGCTTTGAGTAATGTTTAAATTGTTACTTCCTCGTTCTCTTGGTTAAGAAGCAAAGATTAAACTATAGCACAATTTAAGTTTTTGCTTCGCTAAATTAGCAAAATGTGGTTTCAACAATTTTTGGTTGTTTTAAATTATTCAAAAAGATCTGACATGTTTAACTTGATAAAATAAAAGAATGATTAGTGAAAAAACAGATAGGAATTAATTGACAGATTAAATGTGATGGATGGCAATGAAAACGACCTGTAGCATAAAATATGACAACACAATTTGCTTCGCTCATTATGAGAACCATTTTTTGTGCCTCTGATCTGCATGCAGTTTTTTAGCTGTTTTTCACGTACGACAATTGCGAGTCTTGAATTGGTAATCTTTTGATTGTGAGACTGAGAATGATGATGACCGCTATCATTTTGATATGTAAAATTGGTAATGAATACTATATATGCTTTCGCTTACGTTTCAAGTAAATGTTCATTTTCTGCGAGTAAAACAACAATTCCCAGCCCCAAAAAGTGACAAATAAATTGCTTGTAATGTTTACCAGGGAGCACCGCACAACAACGGTTTTTCATAAAGAGCTGAACAGCTCGTTTGTAGTTTATATCATTCGTGCATAAATATTAAAGTTAATAATTTAATAAGTTAAAATGTTTTTGTATATCAAATTATTTAAAATTAACGTTTTTCTTGTTCAAACACCGCGTATTATGATGGTGGTTAAGACTCGTATGGTTTGCAGGTGTTCGCCTCTGAGACGGAGATCCACATTCACATAGCCCAACACGTGGAGGAGGAGGGAACGAGTCACAGCAAGTGTGAGTTGTGTGGCCAGCTGTTCCCCACTCCTGCCAGACTCCAGTGCCATTTGATTGAACACACCTTCACACACCTGGACGGACTCATATGTCCAGTTTGCCATGTCGTTTGCAGGAGTGCACGTGACTTACAGGTGGGGACAATGCAATGTTTTTTGTTGTTCTGGGGGGGGGGGGGGGGTGGTTAAAATTTAAATGACTAAGTTATAGCACAACAATGGATCAATGCAGACCTAAAATTTGTTGTAGAAACAAGCAAATTTCACTTTTTTTAAAATTATTTTTTTTCCATATTGATGGCAAATCTTCATTGTGGAATAATCTTGATAAATTGAATCATAACTTGAAAAAAAGTTAAAACTCTTTACAATTAAAGGTATCTCTGAAGTACCAATGGCTTTTTGAATAACTTTAAATCAAATGTAGCTCTAATTATTTTTGATTTCGCCTAGTAAAAAATTTGAAACTTGTTTAGATGCACGTAGTCAACCACAAGAACATTCAAAAGCCGCACACATGTCAACATTGTCCGCAATCTTTCTTCTTCGGAGCCGAGTTGGAACACCACAAGCTGCAGATTCACTCTAAGCCTCTTTTATATTTCACACCCAATGACACAAACCAGTCCCCCCTGCCCATGTCTTATTCCAACCCCCTATCAAACCAGTCTGAAGACGCCAGGGTTGTCCTAAAACAGCGTCCATCATCAACTGATGACCGACTGTTGACAGGTGGAGTCAAGTCAGCACCTGACACGTCCTCTCCTCGGTGTCCACCGAGAACATTGTCGCCGCCGACTGAGTTCTACAGAACCCGATTTCCGACTAGAGTGAAAAATGGTCAAAAAACTTACTCGTGCCCAATTTGCCGAAACCATTTCAGCCGAAAAGATAATCTGAAGGAGCATTTGAGATTGCATCATGCGGGTATTAAGCCCTACTTGTGTCCGAAATGCGGTAAAATGTTTTCCAGGAAAAGTCAAGTTCGCGAACATGTAAAGCTACACGTGAATGACTCATCAGTTAAACACCTGCAAGAAGTGAAAAGCGAACCTGAGACCGAAATCGACACATCAGATGTAACAACCGGATCACTACATTGTCAAATATGCAATTTTGATACGGATGTTGTGGAAAGTTTAAAAAATCACCTCGAAAATGAACATTGCGACGAAATTTCGTTTGTGACTGAGTTGAACGAAATTGTGGAATCGTCGATGGAGTATTCTGAGAACGACGAAATCTCTACTCATAATGAAAGCTCACTTTTAGAAGTTCGATAAACCGATTGGTAAAATAAGCCAGCAAACCTTTTTTTATTACTCGACTCATTTGATGTTTGAAACAAAAAAACTCAACCTGACTTGAATTTTATTTTGGTGCTCTTCTTTATGGACTTTCAAACGTCTTTATAGCTCTCACTGATAAGTAGAAACTTACTTAAAAGTTTGAAATTACAGTTAAACTGATAGTTTATTTATAGATAAAAAGAATAATTAAAACTTGCTTCTCTGTGCAATATAAATACCTTTCATTTAAATTTTGAATCTTTCCTTAGTTGCAAAACAATTTAAATCTTCACGAAATTTATTTTCAAAATTTTATGTTTAGAAGAGAACCCATTTCCAGTGCTAAGTAAGTATTGGAAGACAATTTAGTATTAGAATATTTTTTCTATTTTGACGCTCATTCAGTCGTATAGGACGCCCTGTATGAAAAGTTTAAAAACCTGCAGGTAGAAAAATTGTTTGTGTCGTTTCTCACTTAGTCATTGAGTTGTTTTGCTTTGTTTCCGCTCCTCTCGACTGTTATGGTACTAGCTCCTCTGACTATTATGGTAGTAGCTTTGTGCTGTCAATCTCTTGATCACTTTTTTTGTTTCTTTCAGCCACCACCTGAGCCAAATTTTGTTGATCAATCTGTTTCCAAGGAAAAATTGCACTTAAATACTCTAATTTTTCTTGCGATTCCGCGATTGAATCAAATGAATATTTGTAATTGTGGTACAAAAGTTTCAAGTTTTCAGTTTGGGTGCCATTACGCGATCCATTGAAAATAAAGTAACAGTAAAAAGATCATTTGAATGGGAAGTGTTTGATTTCGATAATTTTTTGTGGCCAATTAACATCCCTTAGAGGTTGATTTCGACCCATTATAGTCAAAAGAACAGTTGAACATATTTCGGAACAAAAAAAATCAATTTTGAAAATAATATTGAAAAATAAAGCCAGACTGCTCAGATGAAAAAAAAGGAAAAAAAGAGAAGAGACCAGCTGATTTTTTTTTCAAAAAATGATAAAACATCAGATCACTTCGCAAAAACTTTCTATACTTCGATTTTTTAGTCAGTGAGAGAAAAGACAAACCGGTCCTCCTTGCTGTAACCAAAACCTGGTGTAACGGAAATACTTTTAAAAATACGTTTGCAAAACGATCGCATAATTGAATGCAATGACAAGCGTGCCCAGTTGTTAAAAATCTACTATCCACCTGTCTAATTTAACTCAAAATTCGGTAAGAACAAATATAGGGTCGCAGATCTTAGTCAGGGAGAAAAATTTATTGACCAATTACTAAATCGAACGATAACTATACGTGCCTAGACCTGAAATTTTATCGTTCCAACGAAAAGAGTTCATCCTTAAAGAGATTCAATAGATTAAGTGTTTCAGTTCCATAAAACAACCACTGGTTGAAGTTATACCCTTGCAAACTTTTAGAGAAATAAAACTAACCATACAGATAACTGGATAACAAATTAGGCAAAACGAAACAGAGCCAAACAAAAAAAAAACTCCTGGAACAAAATATCGACAAAAATGGAAGCATGAGATCATCACAGCAAAAAATATAATCAGGAAAACCAACTGGAGATCAGTTTTAACAAATAAAAAACTTGAATTGATATGTTTGATGAAAATTAAAAAATCAAAACAGACGGAAACTGTTCTGATGATAATGACTGACACAGTTTTGGTTGTTGTACGCAGGAAACCTAGTAAAAACCCAGCAGGCCTTCGAGCCTCTCAACCGAGCAGCCCGTTCAAGCAACCATGGTGCTAATTGAAACTAATGAACGAAACGAAAAATGCTTTATATGATCTGAAAGTTGCGTTTGCGCATGAAAACATCAGCAGGCACCGAAAACCTCAATAAGGAAAACAATTTGAGAATAGGCCAATCAATTGTATTCGTTGGCGCAATTCACAAATGGATGCTTCACGATTCAGTGTATCCCCAAACTTCTAAATGAAGCTTAAGTTTCACCTTTTTTTCAAGCGGGAGTGGAAATTGAGTGCACAAATTTCAGACCAACATTGATCTGTTGTCTAAAGTTATCGAAACTGTACTTACCTAAAGAGTAACTCAATTTCTGGTCCAAACTCGCTGTAATTTTGAAAAATCGATTTAGATACCAAAAGATAAGTCAACAGTGGATGCTGCATAGCAGTTTTTAATGATCTTAAGGGGAACGATGGCCTCAAAATATGATCTGTCAGTGTTTTTACTACATCTCAAGCGTTCAAATTGGTTTCGCATAAATGATATAAAAAATTATAATTATGCACGAGATGCGAGTTCTACTTATGATTTACTCAGTTGAAGATTTACTTGTATATGAATTCAGCAATTTGCTCAGGAAAATTTCATACGTTAGGAAAACACATACGGTTGAAAAAGTGATCGAAAGCATATCAAGTCCTGAAATTCAAATTACAATCTATGAAGTAAGTCATAGTTTATGAGATAAAAAAGCTATCGCGTGCAAAATATTGTGAAATACATGATTTGCGCCATTGAATTAGTTGTGACTGTTCTAATTTTTAGCAATTCTCTGGATAGCTGAGACAGTGTTTTGTTTTTTTTTTCGGCCAGCAAATCTGAACAAATTTTTTAAACTTAAGACTGCCTTTTTGATGCGAGTAGATCCTATTTTGAAGCTATTTTAAAAAAGGTGCGAGCTTTTAATAGACATGTTTCAGATCTGTGGCAGTCCTAAAATTAAAGATCAGATCTAATTTCAATATAAAAAACTAAAAGCGGAGTATCTATCTTCTAGTTCGAAAGGTACAAAAAAGTTTACTGAAATTTTTTTAATCAATGAAAAGTGCGTAAAATTTCGTTTGTGAAAAGACTCTGGTTTGTTCAGAAAGGATATTTAAAATTATTAACCTAATAATGATTGGAAAGGTTCGTGCAAAATAGAAAATTAGATGCGTTTTCTGAAAAATATACTCTACACATGAAAATTTCCAAAATTTGTAAGCTGGCGATAGAAACCACTGTTAATTGCAACTCAAGGAGTTTCAAAAAAGTTCACATATATTTCGTACGGCTTCGTGGTACATAACTTTGTGGCGATAAAAAACGCGTGACAATACTCAGACCCTTATTGGTGCGTATATGGAAGAAAACGGAAGTCACTATTTGGTAAGTTTATAATTAATCTAATAGGTTTTGCAACTAAGGGAAGACTTAAAGCATCAGTTTGTAGAGAAAAGCAAGAAAAAGTATCATCAATTTTACATTAAAATTTTTGATCTCGCATGTGAAAATAACAGTTGTTACAATTGTTTTTATGTTTTCTTAGACATCCCTCGGATAAAATTGTACACAGACTGCATGTGGAGCTTTTTTCCCCAAGGTTGACAAACCTCCCCATAAAACCAGACAACCAAAGTGCTTCATTGTCCCCCTTTTTTTACAGAAGTAGCACTCTGTATGCTTTGGGATTTTTTAGGGCTTACTTTGATCGTTCAGAAGTCAACTTTACCAACACAGAAAAATAAATTTCTTATTCTGACTGATTTTGAACTTTGAGTAACCATTTTTGACAAAACAGGAAACTTGGGACTCATTATTGATCATAAAATGGCTATTTTAAAGCCCCATCTTTTAACCAAAAATAATCAAGATTGAAAACTGTTTCGAGCTAAAACAGTTCACCACTACAGCATGTTTTGACAAGGTTTCGCTGTATATTTCACTCTATTCTCAAAACTAGAACGATGGATTTTTTTCTGAAAAAAAATATTTGGAAAGATTTTATGCCTGTTTTACCCTTGCAAGAACATTTGGCTTGTGACCGGAAACCATGCTGTTTTCTGGCGAACAACTTTCTTAAAAATCTACAAGATTGAGCACATAGTAACATGCAGGCTAAGATGCTCATTTTGGAATGCAGCTCTCGAGTTTCATCTTATGTGGTAATTAGTTTCTTAAATTAAACTTGTTGAAAAATGTTGGAGCTCCTTTTCTGGTTTGGGATTGTGGTTGTCGTCTTAATTTTTGTCGGCGCACGTTTTGCAAAAGCAAACTATGGTATCTGAAAACTAAAAAAAACTTTCATCAGCCTACTTCCAAAATCCTAATTTTTTTTCTGTAATCTATTACGCATGCGACTAGCAAGCGTTATCAAATCGGATTATGTAGTTTTTTAAGGTTAACAATTTGCTTAAATAAATTGTTTGAACCATTCGTTAGCTTGATCTATAATGTATTCAATTTTTTAAGCGTCTCTGGTTCGCTTAGCATAGACGTAACCAATATGCCTGGGAAGTCGAAGGTTTTAAGCTCACATCAAGCAAGGACCTGTTTGTTTTCTAAAAAAAGTTCCCGTCATGAAAATTGCTTACCTATTGTGTGTCTGTCTATGGTATACTGCTGAGTTGCCATATAAAGAACTTTTTTTGGGCTATGTAAAAAAAGTGTTTTTGATTTACTTCTGTATTTTGTAAATCCATAGCCCCTGGCCTTGTAACTTTTCCATTTTTTTTTGGTTTCTTCACTCAAAAATTGTCTTTCTGTCAATATGGTTTCCACTTATATTGTTTTAATGTCCTAATTTTGCGTCGTGTGAAAGAAAAAAAATTAAAACTTCTTCCTTACTTTGGATGTTGAATTAACCTACAAGTCGCATTTATTGAAACAGAAGGCGAGTTTAATTTATTCAGCAGGACAGATGTATGAATTCAAATTGTTGTTCAAAATTAAAACTCTGTTGCAACTCTAGAAAATTTTTGTTGAGCCATTTATACTGTAAAGAGTTTTACTCTATGGCGCTTCTGTAAATCCTGATCTACTTTAGAATGGATACAAAAATTTAACAAAAATCTTTTTACCTAAGGATAATCTGAAAGCGTGCACGAGATGCGAGTCCGACGTATGATTTACTCAGTTGAAGATTTACTTGTATATGAATTCAGCAAATTGCTTGGGAAAATTTCAAACATAAGGAAAACACATACGTTTGAAAAAGTGATCGAAAGCATATCAAGTGCTGAAACTCAAATTACAATCTATGAAGTAAGTCGTAATTTATAAGATAAAAAAGCTATCGCGTACAAAATATTGTGTAATAAATGAATTGCGTCATCGAATTAGTTTTGGTTGTTCTAATTTTTGGCAATTCTCTGAATAGCTGAGGCAGTGTTTTTGTTTTTTTGTTCAACGAATCTGAGCAAAGGTTTTTGACTTAAAGCTTCAGTTTAGACTTCAGTTTTTTACTTATTGCAGCGCGCAAAAAATCGTGTCAAAAATTCTATATAAATCGAA